GATTGAAAGTGTTAACATAAGGTACGTCATTTATAATTAGAACTTGCCCACCATGAAAGGATGAGAGCTATCCATGTGCTGATGTGACAGTAATTTAGTTTTGAATAATACCTAAAGTGAAGATGAAAGACAATGGTAGATCAAGTAGGGCAATTTAAAACCCTGCCACCATAATATGAAAGTACTTAAAAATGGAAAGAAGAGTAGAACCCGACCGGTCAATCACAAGCAGCCAAATACCGTTGGAGAAGAGAGGTCAGTCATTAGCTGCGGATCACGAGAGAATAGGGAGCTGTCGTCACTAGTTGGCTTGGTTTACTTCGTATTCTCAATGATAAGAACTTTTTTTGCCAATAGGAAAAATATGTTACAACTACTCAATTGTTTCTCATCTAATTGCTGCCTCTTGTAACTGACGCAATGAAAAAACTCTATATGTCTTACCATTTTCCTTACATGTATGATGTATCTATGCATAAAATAGTAGAGAAGAAAATAGAAATGCTAGAAATCTCAAAATTTTGAGTGAATAAGAAGAGAGTTTTGTTTGTTTTATAGGGCTTGACCCAATTTTTATCTTTTATTTTTTCCAATTTCCAATTTTAATTTTAGAGAGATCATCTATACTGGAAAACCAATAGAAACAAACCAAAAGATTGGATTCATTGTTATTAACTTAGTTCACATTTTAATGATAATAATGATGATTTTAAGTGTAAAGAAAAAATTATAATTAGAACTTGTCCACCATGGATGAATGAGAGTCATCCATGTGCTTATGTGGCAAAGATTTAGTTTTGAATTCCTATAATATTAAGTAAGGATTTTTATCTTTTATTTTTTCCAATTTTCAATTTTAATTTTAGAGAGATCATCTATACTGGAAAACCAATAGAAACAAACCAAAAGATTGCATTCATTGTTATTAACTTAGTGCACATTTTAATGATAATAATGATGATTTTAAGTGTAAAGAAAAAAAATTATAATTAAAACTTGTCCATCATGGATGATTGAGAGTCATCCATGTGCTTATGTGGCAAAGATTTAATTTTGAATTCCTATAATATTAAGTAAGGATGTGTAGATGATTAGTACACCTTTATATTCTGCTTTGTAAATCACATATGATTGATTTTTGAATTTTCATTATAATGTGTGTACATGAAGTATTTTTACTTTGTATATTTTTCTGGTATGGATTGAACATTTTGGATGTTACTTTGTGATTTTTATTTAAAAAAACCGATAGAAAAAGAAACAAAGACAAACGCACGAAAGATGGAGGATTGAAATCTTCTATTGCTGATTCATAAAGAAAGAAAAGAGTCAGCTGAATTATTAAAAAAAAAGAGACGTGTGGTATCAAAACATTAAAAAAAAAAGATGTGGTTAAAAAAAGACGTGTGGCTGGGCGTGAGTGGGAAAGGGAAATAAAACAAAAAACTAAAAAATCTAAATTTTATAATCCCATAACTACTCTTTTCATTAATTAAATATTTCTTCCTATTTTTTAACCATTAGATTAGTTTATGTAGATCCAAGGGCTCGGAGGGGTTTAGTCACTTGACTAAGGACCCCCCAGTCACCAGATCCTCCATCCAATTGTCACCAAACCCGATTGGTTTTGTTACCGAGGGTGTCGGCATGCATAAGACCAAAATGTTCTTCCTACTTTCACTCTCGTTACAATAAATTTGAAATGGAGCAACAGTTTTTCTTATTGTGCTATTATATTATGTGTAGATGATTAGTACACTTTTATATTCTGATTTGTAAATTACATATGATTGATTTTTGAATTTTCATTATAATGTGTGTACATGAAGTATTTTTACTTTGTATATTTTTCTGGTATGGATTGAACATTTTGGATGTTACTTTGTGATTTTTATTTAAAAAAAATGATAGAAAAAAGAAACAAAGACAAATGCACGAAAGATGGAGGATTGAAATCTTTTATTACTGATTCATAAAGAAAGAAAAGAGTCAGCTGAATTATTAAAAAAAGACATGTGGTATCAAAACATAAAAAAAGAGACGTGGTAAAAAAAAGACGTGTGGCTGGGCGTGAGTGGGAAAGGAAAATAAAACAAAAAACTAAAAAACCCAATTTTTTTATAATACCATAACTACTCTTTTCATTAATTAAATATCTCTTCTCATTATTTAACCATTAGATTAGTTTATGTAGATCCAAGGGCTCGGAGGGGCTTAGTCACGTGACTAAGGACCCCCTAGTCACCAGATCCTCCCTCCAACGTCACCAAACCCGATTGGCTTTGATACCGAGGGTGTCGGCATGCATAGGACTGCCACCCTATGTCTGATGCAAGTATGTAATTGCTTGTGGTTCATGTAATTATTAGATTTCCGTTGATTCAGTTTGGTTGTATGCTTATGGTGTGTGTTTTTTTGTTAGATTTCTGTGAGGGATGCAGTACATGAAGGTGTATACCTGGTGGAATTAACTCTACCAAATAAACAAGAACTTATGAATGTCTGCAGGGCTCTGCTAGAGCCCTCAGTTTTTATCAAGGGCATGCATGATTCTAAAGGCGATTCAGAAGCCCTATGCGGACAATATGATATCAGACTCAGGAATGTTTTTGATACACAGGTTGATTGTCGATATGAGAGCTTCTTCTTTTTTCCCTTGAAAGGAAGAAGAAAAAAAAAACTTAGAATGGGTAAGTTTTTTTTGTAAGTGGCATATTCAAATTCTCTGCAAGTTTGGTCCTAACATTCCCAGGGCTCCCTACTTCTACGAACCCCTGAGTCGTGTTCGTCGCGACGATAATTTCTGTGGTATGTGTCTTTGACATGACAGTTTTATTTAATGTGGCTGTCTCGAAACTGATGTCGAGTATCTCACTGATTTTCATGCATTGATCTCCTTTTTCTGCATTTAATAGGGGTTTCCCTTCTATTTCGTGCAGGATTGTGATGTTCATCAAGACTAGGAGAGAGAGCATGTGAGTATGGAAGAACAAGGTTTTTGCTACAGGGGGCTGAAGCACATGCACTTGATGGGCTTTCCCTTGCTTTTCTTTGAAGAACAGTCATACGTTGTAGAAATGAGGATGTAATGGAGTTCGAGGTTATGTACTTGTGGTGTCTAGATGACGGATTTTGGGAATGTTAACCTTCTAATTAGGTGTTATATCAACCACAAACTTCAAAACTCAGGAACCAAATCACCAGATGGAAGGAAGTCAGTCCATTTCATTGTAGCAGCATATGAAACATTTGTGTCTTGCTCCCAGGCTGGTTATGGATGATTCATCTGTCTCTTGGATGAGAAATCTTTTATGTCCTCTCGGAGATGTTTTTCGAGTCTTTCACAAATCCCTTCCATTTAAGCTTTCACTTGCAGAGTAGGATACAATCTCATTTACACATGTCATTATGCTACTTATGTTGGAGTGTGACTCACTTCAAACAGGACGACCAGTTGAGGAAGATGAATAAAGAATCACAATTCCTCCAACCAAACATCCAAAGATGGACACCTTGGACGAAGCTGAGAAAATGGATGCACTATTATGATAAGTAGTTGACCCATAACGAATCTCTTCACATTTCACGTCTACATCTAACCCCACCTCCTCACCTCCAAAACACTCAGAAGTCTCACAATTTGTCCTGCATATGTAAGATCGAGTGAGGGCCTACTGTTGTACGTCTGCAATGCTTCTGGCACACAAGTGACGTGGATTTGAGGAGAGATTTAGGACTCAAGAGCTAATTGAGATGCAGTGGCGGACTCAGGAATTTTATATAGGGGTATCCTCTTTTAAAAAATAAATTAAATAAAAATAAAAATAATTAATTCTTAAATAAGAAAATACCTGACACGTTCAAGTTAAAAAAAGTCCACAATGTATTTTCATATTTGAAAATAATTGTAGAATACACTTGATGTCTACACAACTCAAAATAATTGTCTGTGTATAACCTACTAGACAATCATTTACGAACTGATCACATATTCAATTTCTGAACTTGTTCTTGATGTAACCCAAAGCTAAAAAGACTCTTTCAACACGTGTCGTACAACCATAAAATCAATACAAATTAAGGGTAGCATGAAATTAGTTTAATTATTAGGTTTTGAAAATAATTAGAAATATCTAGGGAATGTCATTTTACTATTACACAGTGTTTAAAATCGAACAACAAATGAGTTGTAGCCTAATAAAATTATGTTTAATAATAATAGTGTCCTAGGTTTGAATTATCCAAACTACCGCTTAAAGTCCCATGCGCAAACTAAGAAATGAGAGTAGGATAATCATTTTTTCAAATTTTAAAGGTGTCCCTCATCAATTATAATTTTTTTGGTCCATACTTAAATTATCACCGGGGGTTGGATAATCGTTATCCCAAAATTTAGGGGTGTCCAATGTGCCCTGGGTCCGCCACTGTTGGGATGCTATAGGGATTTTGTAATCTTTGGATTGTTGGTTTCAAATTTTTTAAAAATACCCTTTTCTTGATTTCGTTTGCTCAACTATGGGGTGAATGTGGATCTGCTATGACTCAGTTGATAAGAAGGGTGGCAAGCTTTGTTTAGAATTTTGAATACTGTCTGTGCTGGGAATTCGTGTGTGGCAGTACGTACAACAGGTCCCTTGTGCATTTTGTTTATATGATTCTGTTGATTTGTTTGTCGGACAGAAATGCCATGTGTTGTGTGGAATCTAGATGGCAAAGTGAGCAGCACTTTGGCATAGTTGTTGTCTCTATAGTGATATTTTATCAATCTTTTGTGCACATTTGAGGTATTCATAAGCTGGTTTTTTCTGAGGACTCCTTTATGATGTTTCAAAAGGTGTAACGTGGACTGCAAGGGCTGTCAATGTGATACATTTGACTCGAAGTTCGAGGTTGGAACTTGGAAGAGCATAAAAAACGGAGGGAAGTAAATGACGGTAATTCAATAAAAAGTGCGTTTTTATTGACCATTGTATCTTTTGTTACTTAACCGAGGGGCGAAAGAGCAAAAAAGTTATTGAGCCATCAAAACTTGAGCTTTTCCATAACAAGTTGTTTTTTGTTTTGAAAATCAGTGGTGTATTCATTCATTCCAAGCCTTAAAAGGCAGATCTTACAGCAAGCAATTACAGCAAATCCGATAAAACATTAAGCACAAAAAACCATTATGGGTGAAAGTTGTTCAATCGACAATTATGGGCAACCCAATCGGCATTCCTATTACTGCGACAACTGGTGAAAGAAACATTAACCCAACTCGATTGGTATAAGATGGCTCTAACAGAAGAAAGCAATGCATATCAATTTCGAGGGATCTTCATGAAGAGCATCCACCAGTATCTTGCTGTCGGAGAGGATTGTAGTTGGAATCGTCTCATCTGCTGCCAGACGACACACTTCGAATAACTGTTAAAAAACTAGTTTGCGTGGGTTTCCCTTATTATTTTTAGTAGGATAATTATTATTATGGTTAGTAGAGATTTAGTCCAATTAGGTTATTTGTTAGGGTTTACCGGTATTTTCCCCATAAATATGTACTCCCGGTTTACGTCATAGGCGAGCAAGAAGAATATTAAAGAAACTATCCCAACCCTAATCTTTCCCAAATCCTCTCAATCCTCGTCTCTCTCTTCCCCAAAGACTTCGACCAGTTCTCCTCTATTCTCCCCAATTCTGTTCTTCAATCCCTAATCCCCAATTCTCCAATCTAAATTCCTAATTTCTTATCCCGATCCCCAAATCCCTCTTTGTTACGTATAATCACGGGTGCCGAAGATCAGTCCCTAGAGACCCTAGAAGCGGGTTTCTTACAATAACGCACACGCCTCAGCCTCGATCGGAGAAGAACAAATAACCCTCTTTGCTCTTCCATAACAAATCTGCCCGATAGAGTTTGTAATAACTCCAATGGCCGCCTCAAGAGTTTCATAGTCAAACGAACAATCACAATAGATTCTTCTGTGATATAGAACCAATGGTGGACATGATTATAACTGAATGTACCGAAAACGAGAAGAGGAAGACGAACCGGCATCAAAGTGAGGCTCTGCCGCGTCTCTCGAAGCATAGATAGAGGACGTTGTTTGGGACAAAACAACTCCTCTAAAGATGAATTCATTTTGTGCCTTCCAAATGTTCCACAAGCAGAAAGTCTTTTGGTGAATCGACGCTGGGGAATCCGCTTCTTTCAATGCGAAGATCCATTGAGAAAGATTCTGCGGAAGAAGCATGTTTGGCACCACCTTCTCCCAAGTAGCATATGCATGAGAACACAAGAACAAACAGGGGATATCATATTCAACCTCAGCATCACACAATTGGCACTTTGGATTGGGCGAACACCGGCGTCGGAACAGATTCAACTTTGTCACCAACGCATTTCTAACACATCTCCACGTAAAGAACCGGATCTTTGGTGGGAGATCGAGCGATCAAAGCCACTTCCAGCAATCATCAGAACACGGAAGATTTTTTTTTTAATTCTTTTGTTATATCCTTTTTCTAATGCTTTCACCCTCTTATGTATTCAAGGATGCTCAAAAGGAGTAGTATTCCGGGTAAAGTCTTGCTAACCAGGAGATCGCTAGCAAAGGAGGCAAGTTTACAAGAATATTCTTCTACTTTTCAAAGAAGCTTTTTGAAAATGATGTTGGTACAAGTAATCGGACTGGCACATCAAAGGAGGCAAGAGTGCCACAATTGACTTGCAATTTTGAGTTATCACCCCTTATAAATCCTCAGTCTGCATGCCTTAGGAATTTACAATCGCTAATTTATCTAAATGAGGAAACTCTTCTTTGTTGTGGAGGATGATGTGTGGACTACAAAGAAGCCAAATAGTAGTTACATTGCCAACAAACTAAAACCTAGTACCCCCAGTATCGAAGTTTCATCTGGAGAAGTTCAGAAGTCGAGTGTGGATGCTAGAGCTACCGACTCTACAAGAGTTATCAAGTTTACAAAGAATTATCGGGAGCAACTGTAATGTTAGTGTATGGTTGAGCTTATCCGGCATCTTTCTTGTCTCCAAAATTTCCAATACATCTCCGCAACATCATTGCCACTACATGCCAGTATCTTTGGAAGAAAAGGACTGAAAGGCCATCGGCATAAGGAGTCCCCCCCCCCCCCCCATCCGTTTCAGTGCGCTCCACACTTCCTCTCTACTGAAAGGACAAAGTAAGAGCTCATTATCCTCCTTGCTGACTCGATGATTCACTGAAGACAGACCCGACCACTCATTTGGGTCCTTGCATGACTTAAATATCGACCAAAATACCCATGCATGCATGCAGTGACCGCATCGTGCCCCACGTGCCACCTCCCTGCATCATCTTTAAATTTTTTTTGATCGAGTTTCATCTTCGTCGTGTCGTCGCCTTTCTATGGAGAAAGGCAGTATTTTTATCACTCTCTCTCAACCAATCAACTTGGGATCTCTACTTCTAGTATTGCTCTTCACTGTCCAGTACATTCACCATTTCACTCTCAAGTTGTCGGATTTGATTCAGCACTTCCTCTGTCTTTACTCTTCTCTCCAAAGCGCACAATGCTCTTTCAATTTTTTTTCTTTCTTCTGCCTGTTCCACCTCTCCAACTTCGTGCAACAACAGTCCATCTTTACAAATATATCCGAGGACCCATGCTCTTTCCAGGCTTCTTCTATCACGCGGGGCAATCCTCGTGCTTTGTCTAGTGCGGTTCAAAATGGAACGGTCATCCCCATTTAATTATCAACATCTTTCGCTCCACGAGTGTCGCATATAATCTGGCGATGGTCTGAGCTAGCTCGATCATGATGCATAAATTGACTATTCCCAAATAGGTTATGCCATCTGTCATTAACCACAAACCTATCTAATCTCTCATCGATCAAACCACCACCTCTTCTTCTCTTTTCCCACGCATAATCCATGATAACCCAAGTCATGGAGACCCACTTTAGTGAGACAGTCTCTAAAGTTGCACATGTCGACTTCCTGAACAGATCTTCCTCCACTCTTCTCTTCTGTTGAGAGAACTTGGTTAAAATCACCCCTGCAAAGCCATGGACCATTCCATTGTAAGCTAAGCGAACACAATAAGTTCCCTAAGGCCACCCGTAGATGTCAGTAAACCTCCATATTTCTTCCCGTTCCTCATCAACCACTACATTTATATAGTGGAGGTCAAAAGACATTCTCGTGTTCGTCACTTCCTCTTGCCACCAGATACTCACGCCACCCACCTTGATTTTTGTTGAGATCACACGCCAAAGCGGATTCAAATCAATCAGACTTCGTGCCTTGTTTGAATCCAAATAATTATACAAGAGCCAATTCGTTGCAATAGATCTTAATATCTTGTTGATCATCTTAATATCTTGTTCATCAATGGATCAACAAGATAACATTAAAATGACTCTCAAAATTGGATTGTCAAGCGAGATTGAAGCTCTAATGTGTAATATTAACAACGAGGAGTACTCGTAATTACGATGCCATTTGAAATACATTTGGATCGGTTCAATGAGCTGGTTTGATCTTGGGTTTGGGTCGGTTCAAACCAGTTGTGGCTCGGGGTTCATTTCAGAGCGAGGTTAGAGGTCCGAAACCAGTTTCGAGGGTTTCGCGCCACCTACTTTGTTTTCCTGGTTCCGAAAACCCTACACAGTTCCCCTTGTTGCCCGTCCCTCCGCAATTTCCTCCGCCGCCGATGCTACGGCCACCTCCGCCTTCGTGTTCGTCCCCCGTGGCTTTGATTTATGAAGGTCTTTCCATATATACATCCGGAAAACGAGTTCCCTCAGCAGCGCAATAGCAGCAGATAAAAGAGCTTTTTTTCTGGCGACAATCCATCCCTCAAAAAATGTCGTGTGTGACCTCTTCCAGAGTTTTCGCGCCTTCTGCCAAGCTTCTCTCCGGCTTCAACAAGAACAATGTCAATTTCTCAGTGTCAAGCGCTCCCTCTTCCTTCTTCAGCAACCTTTTCTCTTCGTCTGCGTCATTTCCGAGACTCGTTGGCTGCGGGAATAGTATGAATAGCTTGGAAAGCAGAAGACTGGTTAGCACCGGTTTGCGTTGTTCTGCTGCCCAGCAATCGGGGAACTCGGCTTCAGTCGCCTCTCTGGGTAGGGATGACTCTGGTGAGGCAGGAAGGGAGATCCCTTTCTTTTTGTCCGTCTGTCTCGATTCGATTGTGGGTTTTGAAATTGTGGTGCTATGAGAATTGATGAATTGGGTGGATAGTCCTCTGACTACTAAATGTGTTGCTTCCTGGAATCTTATCGTGTAATGAATTATTTCTTGATAATGGTGATTGTAGTCTGAGAATCAGGGTTGGTCCCTGTATGAATTTGCTGATGTCAGTAGCTATGTTGAGGTATGTGTAGGTGAGGAACCTGAATCCATGCTAATTCACCTGTGCAAAGCAAGTGGAGTTGCTTTTCCTCTGGGTATTCTGGTTGTTTGGTTCTGTGATTAGTCGTAGTGATATTCTAGCAATAGTAATTTAGATTTCTGAACAGGGACTCGTAGGGATGAGCGGTAGTGTTCGGGTGTCGAGAGGGAGGAGTGCGTGGTCATCTTGCATTTGGGACTCAATGCAGTAGTTTTTTTGCTGTTCATTAGATGGGATATGATTGAACCTTGAAGGGTTAGGTGTTACGATTCTCGGTTCTCTTCCGTCATATCTCACTTGCCCCATTTATCGTACCGTGTATAGGTTCATAGGGTCCATGATATAGGCAGGTAATTCCATGACTGAAGGTTTGAGATGCTCAGAGTCGAAGGGATTTGTCTCCCGCTGAAGGTTGCTTATTTTTTATGACAATGGTCAATGAAACTCCTTTGGAGCCTTGGAGAATTGAGAGTGGTTTCGTTCTTTTGCCTCTCTCTTTGAACAAAGAGTTGACATTTTTTTTACCCTTGTTCTGTTAGCAATTTTGTTTATCATTGATGGATGTTCTAATTCTCTCGTGACAGATGAGAGAGTGGTCGTATTGGTGATTGGTGGAGGAGGAAGAGAGCATGCACTTTGCTATGCACTAAAGAGATCCCCCTCTTGTGAAACTGTCTTCTGCGCCCCGGGAAACGTGGGAATTTCCAGCTCTGGTGATGCCACTTGTGTTCCTGAGCTCAATATTGCTAATAGTTCAGCAGTAATCGACTTCTGCCATAAACGGGGTGTTGGGCTCGTGGTGGTGGGGCCAGAGGCACCTCTAGTTGCTGGGCTAGCAAATGATCTGGTGAAGTTTGGTATTCCAGTGTTTGGTCCATCGGCAGAGGCTGCTGCTTTGGAAGGTTCCAAGAACTTCATGAAGAGTATATGTGACAAATATGGAATTCCTACTGCCAAGGTTTTTTCTTCCTTCCTTGATACCCTTTGATCCCTTCTCTTGGTTGACTTTGATGGTTGCAGTCCTTGTCGTTTCTTATATGTTTCTCAAACTTTCACTATAAATCCTTTACTTAAAACAGAAGAAATATTTTCTTTTCTTTCTGACTCTGATAAGCAGTATTCATGCAGTACAAGACATTCAGACATCCAGTGCCTGCTAAACACTATATTCAAGAACAAGAGCTTCCAATCGTAATCAAAGCAGATGGATTGGCTGCTGGAAAAGGAGTAATAGTTGCGATGACCCTAGAAGAGGCTTATGATGCTGTCGACTCAATGCTTGTCGATGAAATGTTCGGACCAGCAGGCTCTCAGGTCATCGTCGAGGAGTTCCTTGAGGGAGAGGAAGCATCTTTCTTTGCCCTGGTGGATGGAGAGAATGCCATTCCGCTGGAGTCTGCCCAAGACCATAAGCGAGTGGGTGATGGAGATACTGGACCTAACACCGGCGGAATGGGAGCTTACTCTCCTGCTCCTATATTGACGAAGGAGCTGGAGTCCATAGTTATGGATAGTATAATACTTCCTACTGTGGAAGGAATGGTGGCAGAGGGTTGCAAGTTCGTTGGAGTTCTGTATGCTGGATTGATGATTGAAAAGAAGTCTGGCTTGCCCAAATTGATCGAGTATAACGTGCGGTTCGGAGACCCTGAATGCCAGGTTAGTGATAGTATTTCCACATTTAACCCTATGGTCAGTAAATTAAGAGTTGTAGTTGAAACACTAGAGTAAATTAAGTGATCTGGTAACAAAGGAATTAGTACTTCTCATTCACTCTGATCAGTCTTAAGTTAAGCTGTATTGACATGTCAAATAGGTTTGATATGTCACCTGAAATAGCTCAATTAGTACACCTATGCACCTGTTGGACCCAACATTTTACAGTATAGCTCTGCCTCCTGACCTGCAAGCATATGCACAAATCTGGAATCCTAACTCTATCCTATAACTAGAACGAGCGGGGTTGGGCTAGTCTGTGGGGTGTTCATTTGAGCAATTACAGTGACGCAGTCAGCCTATTTGACATGCAGATTTAGCTGAACTGACAGCATAATTGGCGAAGTGACTGTTTTTCTACAAATAATTTTGGAGTTGTTTGATCATTATGTACTGTAAACCTCGTGCATTTTAATTTTTAAGCATGCATGTGTGTTGAATGTGCGATTTTCAAATGCATATATCAAAACCCACCTAGTAGCATGCATTTTAGAAAGCTTTGTGGGTTGTCTATGCTGGGATTCATGGAGTATGGGAATACATTAATTTGGAGCTGCTCCATTTTGTTACATATCTCATTTATGATTCAGTAATTTCCATAGATAGATCGAGCCACCTTATTTCTGCCTCCATTGAGATTTATCTACATGGTTATCAAGTTCTTGTAATCTAGCCTCCCTTCTTACTGCTGTGATATACTTTTACGTGGTAGGCATTGATGGTTCGACTGGAATCCGACCTGGTACAAGTCCTGCTTGCTGCCTGTAGAGGCGAACTGAGTCAAGTATCCCTCGAGTGGTCACCTGGCTCGGCCATGGTTGTAGTGATGGCGAGCAATGGCTATCCCGGTCCATATGAGAAGGGAACCGTGATTCAGAACCTCGAAGAAGCTGAAAACGTCGCTCCAACAGTCAAGATATTCCATGCAGGCACTGCTCTCGACTCGAATGGCAACTTGGTATCTGCCGGTGGCCGTGTTCTTGGAGTCACTGCCAAGGGAAATGATCTGGCGGAAGCAAGGGAGAGAGCTTATCAGGCTGTCGAGAAAGTCAACTGGCCAGGCGGGTTCTACCGGCGAGACATTGGGTGGCGGGCGCTTCCCCTTCCGGTTCAACCGAACCTATGGTAATTTGGGCAGTAACATTGTTTAGTTGGATACAGACGGGCCGGGCCCGGCCCAATAAGTTGAAATCATGTGCCTTTTTCTTTCTTTTTTCTCCTCCTCAGCAGTTTCTACCTTACAATAGCCGATGAACCCGCGGGAGTTTCCCGCCGCACCTTCCGGTCGCCATTGTTTCCCTTCTAACTCGGATCATGATTCCCAATTCCTCAATTCCCTTGCCCTCACCTTTAATTCCAACCTTTCTCATTGTCTCCGTTTCTTTTGGCAAATTTTCTCCCGTACTCTGTTTCAGAATTCCCCTGTTTTCCACAATTTCTCTGTTTTGGTCTCGCCGGTTGTAATCTCCGATGGACGGAGGAGGAAATGAGAACAAAGTCGAAGATGAAGACAAACAGGCGCTGGCGGGTTTGAGCTCCGTCCCTAATCCTCACCGGGCGAAAGTCCAATCCTACAGCCAGCAGCTCCGCGGCGAGAGGAAGCTGCACCACCGCCAGGGTCGGAAGCACAGCCTCGACGACATTCCCGCCGGCGGGGGGAGCCGACCTCTCTCCTCCTCCGACGATGATTTCTCCAATTACTCGCTGGACGAGGAGGAAGCGACCCTCGATCTGAAGCCGTTCACCCCGCTCTCTGAATTCGTCGCCGCCGGGTCTCCCGCCGCGGCGGGGAGCTCCAGCCCCGGACCCGGCGGCGGAGGAGGATCTGGCCCCGGAGCCGGAGGAAAAGGGGAGGCGATTTTCAAGGTTCCGATGAGGGCCGCGGTGCATCCGGGGCGCCCGCCGTGCCTGGAGCTCCGGCCGCACCCGCTGAGGGAGACGCAGGTGGGGAAGTTCCTGAGGAACATCGCCTGCACGGAGACGCAGCTGTGGGCGGGCCAGGAGAGCGGGGTCCGGTTCTGGAGGTTCGACCGGATTTACGACCCCGGGTGTGGGTTGGGCGGCAAGGTCAGGAGAGGGGACGAGGATGCGGCGCCGTTTCACGAGTCGGCGTCCACGTCGCCGACGTTCTGTTTGATGGTGGATGCGGCGAACGGGTTGGTTTGGAGCGGGCATAAGGACGGGAAGATTCGGTCGTGGAAGACGGATCAATATTGCGCCCCTGCCGCTGCGTCGGCGGCGTCGGCAGGGGAGCAAGAAGTGGTAGATGGTGCTGCTGGTCAGCCGCCGCAGCAGGTGGATGCTGCCGCCGTGGCTAATGCTCCGTTTAAGGAAGGGCTGTCTTGGCAGGCGCATAAAGGGCCTGTTCTTTCCATGGTCATGAGTTCCTATGGTACGCGCCAATTTTCCTTTTTCACATTATTGAGTTACAACGGCTAAATAGAACACCTAAATATTGAATTTTGCAACTTTATATAATTGGACACAAAATGTTAGTGAATTACTCGATAATACGAGTGATCTTATAGGGGAAAAAATCTGATAATTCAATTAATCATCTCAATTTAGGTTATTTTCAATTAAGCAAAGATTAAGCTCCGAATGTCTCATATATCGAAATATTATCTTAGTTCCATCGAATCCACCTACATCAGATCAGACGGAATGTTCGATTAAACAAGTTTTTTTATTTGCTGCAGGGGATTTATGGTCGGGATCGGAAGGAGGAGTGATAAAGATCTGGCCATGGGAGAGCATCGAGAAATCCCTCTCCCTAAAATCCGAAGAAAAGCGGATGGCCGCTTTACTCGTCGAGCGATCGGCCATCGACCTGAGAAGCCAGGTCACGGTGAACGGCAACTGCAGCATCTCCTCCTCCGACGTCAAATGCCTGCTCTCCGACAACATCCGCGCCAAGCTCTGGTGCGCACAGTCCTTAACCTTCTCCATCTGGGACGCCCGCACCAAGGAGCTCCTCCGCGTCTTCAACATCGACGGCCAGACCGAGAATCGCGTCGACGGCAGCGGAGGAGGGGAGAAGGGCCAGCAGCAGCAGCAACAACAACAACAACAACAACAACAAGAGAGCAGCGGGCAGGGTGGGGAAGAAGGTGGGGCAACTCCACAGGTGAGTAACTAATAACTACTACTGCATGTGGTGAGAATTTTGTTTAACGTGGATTCGAAGTAAAAAAATGTACATTTAGTTCTGTTACTTTTCTATATACGATTTTTTTCATGCTCTAAAATGTTTAAAAGAAGTCGCATTTATCATCCAAACTGTAAAGAGTGTCTGCAATATTTCTATCAGAAATTCATTCATAGCTTCAGTAAATATTGAAGTGTCACGTACTTCATCATGACAAACACATTCTTTTAAAAAATTTATTGATTGATCGTAACAATACTAGTTTTACCAGTCAGTAAGCCAAAAAAAACGTAAATGAATATATATATACCGAAAACTAACTGTAAGGGTTGTTTGGATGAGTTTTTTTGGTTGTGTGATATTTATAGGTTGAAATAACTCGAAATTTGGTTGTGTGGTATTTCTGAAAATTGAGAAATGAAATGTCTTGTTTGGATGAACTAAATTGAAGAGTTATTTCAAATGTGGTATTTATGAAAAAAAGTGGTAAAATACTATCATTAATAGATACACTTCTTGACAATAGGAAAAATATTTGGGTTTGAATTATACAAGCAACATTCCAATTATTTTTTTATGATAAAATGGTTTGATCGGTCTTGCTAATCTTTTCTGTATCGTTGCAAACAGGAGGCCTTGCCGGCAGTCCCGGAAAAGCCGGAAAAGCCGGCGAAGGAGGGGAAAGGGAAGTCGGGAAACAAGAAGGAGAAGGGCCAGGGCTTCCTCCAGCGGTCGCGCAACGCGATCATGGGCGCGGCAGACGCGGTGCGGCGCGTGGCGACACGTGGCACCAACGTCTTCGTGGAGGATTCGAAGAAGACGGAGGCGATCGTGATGACGGCAGACGGGATGGTGTGGAGCGGCTGCACCAACGGGCTGATCATTCAGTGGGACGGGAACGGGAATCGGGTGCAGGATTTCAACTTGCTCAACGGCACGCCCGTGCAGTGCTTCTGTACTTTCGGGACCAGACTCTACGTCGGCTACACCAGCGGGATCATCCAGGTGAGCTTCTACTCTGTCACGACTTTTCACATTGACCGCAACACCTAATTCACGCGATGCTTCTTTACGCTGTTTGTATTGGTGTTTGTTCACGGAATAACGGTGGTTATTCACGCAAACAGTAACGGTTATTCACACAACCTCGTGTTTATTCACGCAGTTGTAAAATCAATTTTTAAATTGTGAAATATATCATTATGAGATGTCATTGTGTAGATTACGACCAATGCAAAATAGATTAAAAAAAGGTTTGAGATTTCATTTGTGTGAATAATCATAATACATGAATAAACAGGGGGTATCCAAGTTGATGAAGGTTTGTTTGCCAAGTACCGACAAACCTTAGGTCGTCCAAATTTCTTACAAAAAAGTTCATGTAAATTTTTGTTTTAGTGATGGTAGTATTTGGATTCGAGGTTATTTGATAACCTTGATAATTTTGGTCGTCATTAACCACCCTTGATGAATTTTTTGGGTCTGCCATTGTGAAAAAACATCGAATGAATGACGTGAATAATCACCAAATGACGAGTAGACTCGAATTACTTACCTTCCCTTGAGTCAATTCCAATTGAAGAAGAAAATGGTGAATTAGGTGTTGTTTGGAAGGGTTACTACTTATTATTACTAACCAATGGTTTGAAATATCGAAGATGTTGGACCTGGAGGGGCATCTCCTACAAATGTGGGTGGCCCACAGCAACCCGGTGCTGAAGCTAGCCGTCGGGAAAGGCTACGTGTACAGCCTGGCCAGCCACGGCGGGATCCGGGGGTGGAACACGCTGTCGCCGAGCCCGATCGACCAGATCCTCCGGTCGGAGCTGGCCGGAAAAGAGCTGACGTACACGAGGAAGGACCAGTTCCGGGTACTCATCGGGACGTGGAACGTGGGGCAGGGGAGGCCCTCGCAGGAGGCCATGATGGCGTGGCTGGGGTCCACCGCGTCGGATGTCGGCATCGTCGTCGTCGGCCTCCAGGAGGTCGACATGGGGGCCGGGTTCCTCGCCATGTCCGCCGCCAAAGAAACTGTACGTATAACTAGCTGCACGCTACCTAAGATTTGACCCTTGCTGATCTTTACATTGTTGCATATGCATGCATGGTCCTTTTTTGTTTGCAAACGACCCCTAATGTTTGTGAATGAATGAATTTGTATTTATTTTGTACCAATTTGTAAAATCATATTGCATATTATTGATTATTTTATCAGTATTCTCTCGATACTGGATCTTGAACTACTAATCTCACCGATTCAATGTGACGGCAATATGATCATGATTTTTACCATGTAACAACATTGGAAATTAAGTGGATATATAGGTGGATTCGTGGTACATTATTGTTATGTATGATGAATGGGGCGGGTGTAGGTAGGACTGGAAGGGAGTGCAATTGGGCAGTGGTGGCTGGACAATATTGGGAAAGCCTTAGGGGAAGGCTCTGTTTTCGAAAGGATGGGATCTAGGCAGCTTGCTGGCTTGCTCGTCTCCCTCTGGTACCTATATAAAACAGTAGCTATTTTACTGCCTTTTTTTTTTCCACTGCTAAATTTACTCTGAAATTTGTTATGTTTACTTGATCATGAAGGGTGAGGAAGAACATGAGACAGCATGTTGGGGATGTTGATGCTGGAGCTGTTCCTTGCGGGTTTGGACGAGCCATTGGCAATAAGGTAAGTAAGTTACCTCGATCGAGACTTCTAACATTTGAGACAGATAATGTGCTTCCAGTTCATGATGGTGAATTGTGTTGTGCAGGGAGGGGTAGGGTTGAGGATAAGGGTGCGGGACAGGATAATGTGCTTCGTGAACTGTCACTTGGCAGCACATTTGGAAGCAGTGAACCGAAGGAACGCAGATTTCGATCACATCTATCGAAACATGGTGTTTGGGAAGCCGACGATCCCCAACGCTGCCGCCGGTATGCTGCTGACGATCCTGCGGTTCTTGTTTTGTTGTTGCTCTCTTGCCTTCTCCACGTATTTAATTTGGATCCTTTATTATACATATGGTGTACCCTTCATCCTGTCTGTTGCAGCTGGTGTGTCCTCCTCCTCCCACACCCTTAAATCCGATAAGGTACGCCCCACCACGCCATTAGGACGAGCTTCTGTGATCTAGCTAGTTGTCTCGATACGAGCTCGCTCTGCTCCTTAGTAATGATGCATGTATAGGCGAGTTGGGCGACCTGATTGAGTCCTTGACCCTTGCTTAATCTTTAATGTGATGTCGGGTGTGTGTTCTGTTTAGAACTCCGGTGGTGGTGGCGGCGGCGGCAATAACAACAACAATGGCTCGTCCGAGGACACAAAGCCAGAGCTGTCTGATGCAGACATGGTTGTGTTCTTTGGGGACTTTAACTACAGGCTGTTTGGGATATCATATGATGAGGCCAGGGACTTTGTGTCTCAGAGATGCTTTGACTGGCTTCGAGAGCGAGATCAGCTGCGAGCTGAGATGAAAGCTGGGAGGGTTTTCCAAGGGATGCATGAAGCCAACATTACTTTCCCTCCTACTTACAAGTTTGAGAGAAATGTCCCTGGATTAGGAGGTAATCTAACTATAAATGCATTTCGTGTCTCATCATCTAATAATACGATTGCTGAATGCGTCCATGCTGCTAAAAAAATTGCAGGCTATGATTCTGGGGAGAAGAAACGTATACCTGCATGGTGTGACAGGGTTATATTCCGTGATACACGGCCAGGTTCAGCTACACCATCGCAATGCGAATGTAGCTTGGAGTGCCCTGTTGTCTCTGCAGTCATCCAGTAAACAAACAGCATTTCATATATACTTCTTCATCTTCAACCAAACACCTCGTTGACCATGTCCCTACTTCCCACAGATACGAAGCTGTCATGGAAGTGACTGAGAGCGACCACAAACCCGTACGGTGCAAGTTCCACATCCAAGTAGCTCACACAGATAGATCAGTGAGGAGGCAAGAGTTTGGCGAGATCCTGAAGACGAATGAGAAGATTCAATCGCTGTTGGAGGAATCTCGAGTGGTCCCAGAGACAGCCATCAGCACCAACAGCATTGCTCTGCAAAATCAGGACACTGCCATCCTCAGGATCACCAACAAATCTGCAGCAGACAAAGTAGTGTTCAGGATCTACTGTGAAGGCCAAGCCAATTTCAAGGATGAAGGGGATGAAGCCGAGTATCATGCACGAGGTAACCATGGCTTCCCCCGGTGGCTTGAGGTGAGTAAATCTATTTCCTTCCTGTGCATTCCTAAAACATTCATTTCATTTGATAGAATCTATAGACGTTCAGTAGATGCCAGATAAAGCATCTAATAATCAACTACTGCAACCAGAAAGAGTGAGCAGCAAACAACAGCAAGAACATTGTTTTTGCATACTAGATTGACACCACTTTCGTTCATTAACATAGGTCACACCAGCAGCTGGAATAATCAAACCTGACAATAGCATGGAAGTATCAGTGCACCATGAAGAGTTCCACACACTAGAAGATTTAGTAGACGGCATCCCACAGAACTGGTGGTGTGAAGACACCAGAGACAAAGAAGTGATCCTTGTAGTCGTTGTACAAGGCAGCAGCTCAACTGAGGTCACAACTCATCGGGTCCATGTTCGGCACTGCCTCTCGGCCAAAACTCTGTGTGCTGACTCTAAATCAGGCTCGCGAAGAGGTCAAAAAAGTGATCCCAGGCAGCAAAGCGGTTCAACCAATGATTCTCGAAGTTCACAAAAGCCTTGAGGAAAGTTTCTGATACTTTTTTTTGCAGACCTCTTAGTACTTAAGAAACATAGCATAGTACAGAAGAGTTTAGAATGCATCTAACGATTTCTACAGGCAGCAAAAAGTTCCTCAGTCTTTGTGTAAATACTCACGGAGCATGGGAAGCTGTTGAAAGATACTTACTGCTAATGCTTTATTGTAGTTAGCAGTAACAGCTAGCCCTAGTCTAATTGTAGAAAGATTAGATAATAGAATATATTTTAGTTAAGGTAGGTCTCACCTAACCTAGCTTATATATTCTCTCACTCTGTAAATCATGAGATATACGAAAAAAAGCAGAATTCTCTAAAACCCTACTTTGTTCTTGTTCTCTCCTAAATTTTAACATGGTATCAGAGCCTAGAATTGAAAGGTCATGGTTATCAAAATTTAGGAGAGAACAAGAACAAAGTAGGGTTTTAGAGAATTCTGCTTTTTTTCGTATATCTCATGATTTACAGAGTGAGAGAATATATAAGCTAGGTTAGGTGAGACCTACCTTAACTAAAATATATTCTATTATCTAATCTTTCTACAATTAGACTAGGGCTAGCTGTTACTGCTAACTACAATAAAGCATTAGCAGTAAGTATCTTTCAACACTCCCCCTCAAGCTTGGTGTAGATGTTAATCAACCCAAGCTTGCCCATTAGAGCCTCGAACATGTCTCTTGATAATGGCTTTGTCAAAACATCTGCAGTCTGCTGCTTTGAAGGAACATATTCCACCTGAATCATTCCAGTGTTAACATTGTCAGTGATAAAGTGTCGATCCACTTCCACATGTTTAGTTCGATCATGATGGACTGGATTCCTAACTATACTAATTGCAGCTTGACTGTCACATAGTAGCTTCATAGGGCTTTCATGAGGAATCTTCAATTCCTCTAGAACTCGTTTAATCCAAATGCCCTCACACATGCCGAGAGCTAAGGCTCTATATTCTGCCTCTGCACTACTTCGTGCAACAACCTTCTGTTTCTTGCTTCGCCAAGTAACTAGATTGCCCCAAACATAGCTGCAGTAACCAGTAACAGATCTTCTCTCAGTGAGCTCTCCAGCCCAGCTAGCATCAGTATACACTGTTATCCTTCTGTGAGACGTTTTCTTGAAATGAATTCCTTTTCCTGGGGCACCCTTAAGGTATCTTAGAATTCTGATTACCATTTGCATATGCTCTTCATTTGGGCATTGCATATGTTGACTCACAATTCCAACAGCAAATGTAATGTCAGGACGAGTGTGAGCAAGGTATATAAGCTTACCTACCAGACGTTGGTAGCTTCCCTTCTCCACTAATGGAATGTCTTGACTCCTACTCAACACTTTGTTCTGCTCCATGGGTGTATCAATCGGCTTACATCCGAGCATTCCCACTTCCTTGAGCAAGTCGAGCACATATTTCCGTTGAGAGATCACAATCCCTTGCTGCGATCTCGACACCTCCATTCCTAGAAAATATTTCAGATTTCCTAGATCTTTTATTTCAAATTCCTCTGCAAGCTGAGCTTTCAGTCTAGCAATTTCTTCTGTATCATCCCCAGTAATTATGATATCATCCACGTAAACTATCAAAATTGAAAGCTTCATAGTAGATGAGTGTTTCACAAACAGGGTGTGATCTGTTTGACATTGGTAGTATCCACCTTGTTTAACAGCCTTGGTGAACTTGTCAAACCATGCACGTGGTGATTGCTTCAACCCATACAAAGCCTTCTTGAGTCTACAAACTTGTCCTTTTACTGGATTTTTCACTCCAGGAGGAAACATCATGTAAACTTCTTCAACAAGGTCTCCATTGAGGAAAGCATTTTTAATATCAAGTTGGTGTAATGGCCAATCAAGATTCACAGCAAGAGAGAGGAGTACCCTTACTGTGTTAAGCTTTGCCACTGGTGCAAAGGTCTCATCATAGTCCACACCATGTTCTTGAGTAAATCCTCGTGCAACTAGTCTTGCCTTGTATCTCTCAATCGAACCATCTGCCTTATATTTGATTGTGAATATCCATTTGCAGCTAACAGTATTCTTCCCTGTAGGAAGGGATACAATATCCCAAGTAGCATTTTCCTCCAATGCCCTTAATTCCTCCATGACTGCAGCTCTCCATTTAGGATGTTTCATTGCTTCATGAATATCCTTTGGCACCTGTTCTTCCTCTAGAGCAGATACAAAGAGTCTGCGGGATTTGCTAAGACGGTCATAGTTGACATGTCGAGCAATAGGATACTTAGGAGTCTTAGTACAGTTTCGAACTCCCTTTCTAAGAGCAATAGGTATATCTTCCACTCCTACTGTTGTAGTATCATCTCCAAGTTCCTCTAGCACCACATCATGATCTGCACTAGAATCATCTTCCATATCTTCCAATTCTGCATTAGTGTCATTTTCCACTTGGGCATTAGTCTCATCTTCCACATTTGTACTTGGAACCTTGTTCCTTCTTTGATATACTAGTAGTGGCTTCTCTACTACTAGATGCTCCCCCTGAGTTGGTGTGGGAGGCTCATCAAAGTCAGTATCCAAGGTAATGAGATCAACAAAAACCTGCTGCCCAGACTGTTGTGCATCAATCGATCTAGATGAATCATGAGAATTCTCCCCCTGAGGCATAGCCGTGGTGAAGAAGGGCTGTGACTCGAAGAATGTGACATCACGAGTCGTGTAGATCCGTCTGGTATGTGGAACAAAACACTTATAGCCCTTTTGTGTGGAAGAATAACCAATAAAGACCCCTTTGTGAGATCTTGGATCCAACTTAGACCGATTTGGGGCAGAATTGTGGATGAAAACTGTGCAGCCAAACACCTTTGGAGGGAGGTCGGAAGAGTAATTTTTCATGTGAGGATAGGTGTCGAGAAGAACATGTCTAGGGGTTTGGAACTGTAAGACCCTGCTCGGCATCCGGTTGATAAGGTAAGTTGCTGTAAGAACAGCCTCCCCCCACAGATGCTTAGGGACGTGATGAGTAAACATGAGTGCACGGGCAACATCGAGCAAATGTCTGTTCTTGCGTTCAGCAATGCCATTTTGCTGAGGTGTGTCGACGCAAGAACTAGCTTGTATAATGCCGTGTGTCTGCAGAAAGACCCCAAGAGTCTTATTGAAATAATCGTGAGCATTGTCAGTTTTCAATACCTGAATTTGGGTTTGAAACTGAGTAGCCACCATGGTATGGAAGTTCTGAAAGATACCAGCAGTTTCAGACTTCTCTTTCATCAAAAACGTCCAAGTTAACCGAGTGTGATCATCAATGAAGGTGATGAACCACTTGGCACCATTGATGTTTCTGATTTTCATAGGTCCCCATATGTCACTATGAACAACACTGAACGGTGTGGTAGGTCGATAGCCAATTCCCGAATACACAGATCGAGTATGTTTAGCAAGTTGACACACTTCACATTCAAAATCCTTGGAACTTTTATTCTGAAACAGTGTTGGAAACAACTTCTCAAGATAAGGAAAACTAGGATGACCAAGCCTACAATGCCACAAATAAACTGGATTCTTATTGTTCTCTATGCTAGAGACAACATGTGCACTACTACTGTCTCCATAGTGATGCTCCACATCCGTCGTGCCCCGCAAAAGATACAGCCCATCATAAAGTTCACCACTGCCAATCGTCCTCTTCGTCCCCACTTCCTGCAACACACAACCATTGGGGGTAAACTTAGCTTCACAGTGGAGGTCATGAGTAACTCGTGGAACAGATAGGAGGTTGCAGTCAAGTTTTGGTACATAGAGTACAGGACAGAGAGTGAAGTCCTTAGTCACCCGAACTATACCAAACCCTTCAACAGGAGCAATGGTCCCATCAGCAATACGAACCCCAGTTTTCCTAGGATAGGGCTGTAAGTTCTGTATTAGGTCCTTACAACCCGTCATATTATCTGTGGCACCTGAGTCTAGAATCCATACATTCTTAGAATTCCGCTGTGAAGTGTGAGCTTGAGGAATACCTGATTTTTCGAACAACTGGGTTATGTAGCCTTTCGGTTTTGATTCAGCCTGAAGTACCTGAGTGAACATCTTCTGAAGAGCTTCCAACTGTCCTTTCGAAAATTGACCTTCTTCCTCTGTACCCTTGCTGGTTGCTGTATTAGCACGTCCTTTCTGACGACCCATCTTAGATTTCCAGCCTGGTGGTCCGCCGATAATTTCCCAACATTCATCTTTTGTATGAAATTGTTGCTTGCAAAAATCGCACCATTTTGCTGCAGCATCCGAGTTGGTTCTCGGTTTTCCCTTTCCCCGGTTATTCTGAGAAACAAGTGCTGTGGCTGTTTCTGTTGTTAGGGCAGAGCTCAAGTTATCTGAGGTGGACTTTGACTCTGCAAGCATAAGATGGCGACGACCTTCCTCCCTCAACACTTCAGCAAACGCTTCCTTCAAACTCGGGAAAGGCTTTGTTCCCATGATCCTGCTTTTAGCTGCATCCAGATTTTGGTTGAGGCCAAGGAGGAACTGAATTGTTCGCTTCTTTTCCACAAACATCCGAAACGTTTTTGCATCAGCCGTCGTTTCCCATTTCTGAGCTTCATACAAATCAAGTTGAAGCCAGCTTCGGACTAATCGGTTGTAGTATTCTGTAGCACTCATCGTCCCTTGTTTGAAGTTGAAGAGTTTTAACTCTACTTCGAACAAGGCAGAAGAGTTGTCTTGTGTGGAATATGTCTCCTCTACATCAGCCCATAGCTCTTTGGCAGATTGATGCAGTAGGTAATTGTCTCCGATGTCTGGTTCCATTGTGGAAATAAGCCAGAACCGGACTTGGTTGTCGTCGTTGTTCCACTTGGTGTAAGCAGCAGCATCGGATTCCGCTGGTCTAGTTGCAGTACCAGTAAGATATTCCCCCTTTTGCTTCCCAGTGATGAACATCCGGACAGATTGAGACCACTGGAGGTAATTCTTCCCATTGAATTTTCTGATGGTGATTCCTCCAGAGCTTGATTCTGTGCCTGAATCATTGTTTGATGTGGCCATACTCTCTATTTTGGAGTTGGTAGATTGGATAGTAGAAGAGGAAGAAGAAGAATCGGGTGAATCTTCGTCTGTGCTCATGACAGAACGAGGTTACTGCCGGCAGCAGCGGAAGGAAGAACCGGCAGCTCTGATACCATGTTAGCGAACTAACCACTTGGCCCCAATAACTCGAGTTGTTGGGAAAGGGATAATTAAGCCTTTTAACCTCTTATAGAAGCTAACAATTGTGTTAGGTAGAAACTTTTTACTTCCTTAGTTTTGCATATACTGGAAATCAGGTTCAAGTTCTGACCACTTTACACTCCTTTTTCGCCCCTGCTTGGGTTCATCTTTTGCAAAGCTAGGAGCTTTATAGGATTAACTGTCATAATTTCACCAACTTTGATGTAATTGAGAACTCATTATACAAAGTCAAAAAGCTTAACACAGCAAACCTCTTTTGTTGGTGGCAATTCACAGTTACAAAAAATATTCAGACGAGTATCATTATTCGTGATCCAAGTGAAAAAGAAAACAAACATAGAGCAAATTTGTACCTATTAATATACCAACAGATCTACACAAAACTCTCTCAAGAACTAAAAGGGAATCTGATGAATGAAAAACAAATAATCTGTCCTTAGATTGATTTTGTAATCCAGCAGAGTTTCTGCATTATTGATCTCAACATTTGGGCTTTACCTTGAGAACCTTAAGAGTATTTCCATACATCCACTCAAGGATTAAAATTTTGTCCATCTTAGCCTATCTAAGAAGCGTTGACTAGTTACATTATGAGGAACCTCAGCCTCACGTGTCGCTTGAGCGATAGCGGGGCCTACTAAACCACTGGGGGTACCTGCATACTAACCGGGGCTTTCTGCTACCAACATCGGGGAGGCTTCGCCTCCGATACCAAAAGTGCCGCCGGGAACGCTCAAGTGGCGCCACTGGGAATTGAACTCAGGACCTCCCACATCCAGAGCTCAATTGGTCCAGTGGTTTCACACTAGACTATGTTACCTTTGGCTCTGGCATTACAACATCGGTATCCCAGTTAAACAACTAAAAAATTTGCCTGAGTGCGGTACTTAGCTGTGGCAATATGCAATGCTGTGTTTCATTTATTATCTTCTAACTTTTAACAGAAGGATCAGGTGTCAGCAATGCCAGCACAATGTCTACATTCTGCCCTTTCACGGCCATATAGATTGTGGTCTGCCCCTTCTTGTCCGTCTGAAAACCAGAACTTGGATATCTTACCCAAATGACCCTGCTTTGCAGCAAGATGGAAAGGATCAAAACCATTCCTAGCTGCAATAGAAGCCGCGTGCAGGTCCATATATCCCAGCATTTCAACAATCACATCAGCAGCCCCGTGTTCTGACGCTGAATGAAGAGATGTCTCTCCATCTTGATTCTGAAGCAAAGGCAAACCCTTTGCTTTATTTCTCTCATACCTCTTCAGAATCTATCTCACGTTGCTCACATTTCTGGCACGAGCAGCCAAATGAAGCAACCAATCACCTCGCTTCCTGAGAGACTCTTTGCTTTTCCTCTTCTCACTAACTCCAATAAAGCTGAGCTGCCTCTCTATGACCGCGCCAAAGCTCTTCTGCCTCTCAATAAATCCACGAAAGCTCTTCTGCTTTTCCAGTGCTCCCCTTAAAGCTGAGGTGTTTCTCCATCACTCTGCTGGGAGATGATGATGATGATGTCAATAACTCTTCATTCTATTGTTTCTACATTGTTCCCCCCTGTGTGGTTTCTCCATCACTCTGCTGCGAGATGATGTCATCGATGGCTGTTTGGCTGTCTCTCCATAACTCCCTTGAATTGGAGCGTATCTCCATTATCCGCGAGGTTTCATCGACGAATCATTCCCTACTGTCACGCCATGGAAGCTCAAGTCCATTACCTTGGGTTTCTCCCCACCAAGACTCCCATATTGCTCCATTGCAACTCCCTTAAAACTGCTCCTCTTCATGGTCAATTCAAACCCTGAGCAGCTAAAGGGAAAACTACAACCACGCTTCCTCTCCTACAGAACCGATATTCTAATCCTGCGGTATGGTCCCAGTCCCAGAAACAGTAGTTTACTTCACATCTCCCCAATCATTTAACCCCACAATTTCTGCAAAAAAAAACGTTACTTCTCATCACCCACTGCAAACGATCATCAGGCAATTCACCTAACATTTCACCATGATCCCAACAAACAGAAACTTCAGAACAGTCTCCACCCGCAGGCTCCTTTCAAGAACACAAAAAATGGGGGAAACGGGAAACAGGAAGGCAGACAAATTCACCAAAGAATACCTTGAAAGCGATCGAATCCGCTCTTGCCTTCTGAGCTACGAGTTAACTATAATCTACTCACTCTGAAAACTAAAATCCGAATGCAGCGAATTTGGATTTGGGATTGTAAAGTTCAGAGCTTTGAGAGGTCTGATTTCCAAACCCAGAAAGGAGAAATCCGGAATCAAATGAAAGCAGATGAAATGGCAGCCACTAAATTTGCCAATTTGGTGGTGTTTGTTGTTGTTTTGTAGGAAATGGGTGGTAAAATGGACAGACATTGAAAGTTAGTGTATGAATACAAAATTTCGACAGTTCGGCCAAGAAGCAGTATAAATAAGAATTTCTCCGGCGCGGATCGAATAGGTTATCCAAAAAGGAAATGGCGCTGGCAACTGCGACGAGCTCGGCTAAGACGGCGGCCTCCGCCGCCGCCGCCGTCATTATGAGAGTCAATCCACTTCCGGCTCTCATTTCCCGGTCACCTCTTTCAATCCGCTGCTCTCTGGCGCGGATTCACGTCCCGCCACTGACTACAACTTCCGTCGCTAAATCCATGGCGCCACAACAATCATCAATCTCCCGCGGAATTTCTCCCTTCGTATCTTTCTGCACGGCGGCGGAGGGTTCTACCACGGCTACAGCCGCCGATGGAGGCGAGATTCAGAAGAAAGAAGAGACGGAGGGCGGCGGAAGTGGGAGTATAAAGGATGTAGCTAAGCTGCTCGACTTAAGGGTCGGGAAGATAATCAAAGCTTGGAGACACGAGGAGGCCGATTCGCTGTACGTGGAGGAAGTGGATGTTGGAGAAGCTGAGCCACGCATCATATGCAGCGGCCTTGTCAAGTACATTCCCCTGCAGCATCTCGAGGTGAGCGTTTTCCTATTCATCTAGCATTTGAGATATGAGAACGTAGTTGAGATTGATAGGAAGACATTTTTGTGGTAGAGCAAGGGTCGGCCTGGTCTGGTAATGGTGTTTGGGAACTTGGCTGGAGACTGTTGGAAGATGAGATTTTTCGATTGGAGAATGGAAATGGTGGGGTTTTTATGGAGGGAAGGAGTGTGAACTTCTGCTTTGGTGTTTTGGCAGGACAGAAAAGTGGTGGTGCTGGCTAATTTGAAGCCTAGGAACATGCGCGGGGTGAAGTCTAATGGAATGCTGATGGCTGCTTCTGATGCTGCCCATGAGAATGTGGAGCTGCTTGAGCCGCCGGAAGGTTCAATCCCCGGGGAGAGGATCTGGTTTGGCTCTGAGGATGACAAAGATACTCAACCTGATGCCGCATCTCCCAACCAGGTTAGCCATTAGTTCCTCCATTTTTGACATCTAGGAACTTAGTATGTCATACATGCTTGTGTTGAAAATCCATTTAATGGTTCTCTGTGCTTGATTTTTCTTAGTTCCCTTTGATATTAAGTTAATAACACCCAACTCTGAGAACTCACAATAGGCGTAGTGGTATAGGATGAGATCATGAAGGGATGCTCAATGAGGTTGTAGTAGTATGATTTCGAGTCTATGATGATAAACAGAGTTCCGATTTTCCATTCGCAGTATGAAGGATCAGATAACCAACTTGTTTGAGTTTCTGAAACAAGCAGCTTATGAAATGTGCAAAGCCGATGGCTTCTTATGAGCCCTGTTTTGATTTGGGAGACGAGTAAATAGTGAATGTTGCGGGCTCTATTCACTTTCTCCATCTTCACTTCAAGGGCACCTGTCCTAAGTCTTTATCTTTGACAGAACCTCAGTGAAAGAACCAGCACAGGCCCCTCATTTTTCTGCAGTTGTTCTGAAATCAACTTTCTTCCCTGTTGGAGCCCTTAACGTTAAGGGCTTATTCATTGCCAAATCACTGTAAAGCGCATCTTCTTCTGGATTTAGCTCGGATTATGAGTTGTAGAACTAAACTTAGAGTTAGATCAAACGTTGCAGTTCTGCAGCTGTAATAGTACTTGGCAACTTCGATATCCACACATAAGCAGCCAGGCCAGAAATAGTGTTAACTCCATTCTCTGCTTGTATGAGATGTGATTATTTGATGCTGGTGGGTGAAGTTCAGCTAACTCTACACTGTCCTGTTTGTTTCATTCTTTTTACTCTCTGCAGGTTCAAAAGAAAAAGATCTGGGAATCAGTGCAGCCTCATCTGAAGACGAACGATGCCGGGATAGCTGTGCTTGGCGGAGGCGATCATCATGAAATGAGGACGTCTGCTGGTGTTGTAGTGAGCAAATCTCTGTACAATGCTAATATTTCTTGATCAGGCTCTTGTCTTTTTTGGTGCACATCGAAGAATGAAAATAAAGGTGGCATGTAGGGATAACAATTTTGACCTGACCCGTTTTACCCGACCTGTTTGACCTGTTTTGGGGCGGGCATGGGTACTCTAATCGACTCGACCTGTCCTGACCCGCCCCATTCTCGACCCGTTTTTGCCTAAATTACACGTAATTTTAGTCAAATTACTTAGGATTTCTCTTTTATTACATCAAATCTTAGCTATAATAAAGACGTAAATTAGTGAAAACCTCAATTTCTCCAATAATTTAACTATATTTCTCATAATATTGTTTGTTTCCTTGGTCTTATAATAAAAACAACGAATATTTCTAATATTTTTCATATAAATTGCATACCCATTGGGTCGACCTGCCCTGACCCGTGATAAATTACCCGACCTGTACCCGACCTGCCACGGCGCGGGTCTGGGTACCAAGAAACCCGCCCCGGACCTGCCCCATTGCCATTCCTAGTGGCATGAGTACCGAACCGAAATCGATAATTTTTTTCTTTGTTATGTTGCGAATTCATTGAGAGCCGAGCCGAATTATATTCAATCCAGTTTGATTAGTGTACCCAACAGCTAACGCTGCAACCCTGACCGTAGCTGTATCCCAATTCTTATATTCGCAAAAATCAAATTAATTCTGCTTAACAGACAAAGAGACAATAATTGATCAAAGCAAAATACAAGTATAGTATACTCCAGATAATCTACCCGTTAGACGTGTTTGAATGAGCTCCGACCAATCTCAATGATCAATCATTATTTTTTGTTCAACTCAACTTCGGGTCCGGGTTTAGAGAAATAGTATCCACGATTTAGCCATTTGATATTAGGATACAGTATCGTGCCGGTAACGTGCCGGTAACTCGATATAATTCATGATCTAGGTAGAAAACTAGAAATATCTCAAGAGTCAGACCAATAAGTATAAGTACATATATATATATATATATATATATATATATATATAACTGCCAAATAGAAGCATATTTTACTATTCTATCGGCTCTTGTAGATTTGGTAGTTTGGCTCTGCTTTAGTTGTGTGTTATATATTCTGAATCTATAGCCCTCGACGCCAACGCCACCTACGGTTTTAGCTTCGGCCAGAACTTGGTCGGCGGGGGGGGCGTATTTCTGGTGCAACGCTGCGTTTCGTGATCGGCGGCTCTCTTTCGCCGCGTTCGACGAGGCCGATCACGTCACGTTCGTTAAGGAGTTCGACGTGTCGGATGATGGAGTTGATGGGGTTGACATTTATAGCGGAGATCGAGTTCACGTCTGTAATTGGAACCGATGATCATTGGGCTGGGGCCGGCCTTGACGCTAAACTACGTACTTAGTTAATGTACGTGATAAGGCGTTAGGCGTCGACTGGCGTTGAGACCTAATGTTTAGTTTGTCTATGTGTTGTATAAGCGTTGTATTTAGACATGAAAAAAGCAAGAATATCAATTTGTAGTAAGTGATGAATGGAATAAACAATTTACTTCATCTTTTTATTTAAATTTAAACAAGGAGTTAAATAATTAATCTAACGGTCATGATTGACGAGCAGGATAAAGGCAAACAAAAGGTAAGCACAGATTCGACGTAAATATGTCTATACTGAATTACAAAATCACGGATTGTCGGATTCTGCCTAAGACTATTCCTCATCGTTGATTAACTCTATTAAGCAATGATCTTGTCGAATTATTTTTTCCGAGTTCATTTTTGGACGATTCTAAAGAGGTACCCCTTTAGAATCTGCCAAAAATTGACCCGGAATAAATCCGCCCAAATTGGTGCTTAATGGACTTAATAATCATTGATGGATAGCTTCAGACCAAATCCGGGACCTGTAGCCTTCAAAATTCAAAGAAAATGGCATTTCGCCGCCCAAAAAATTACGAAAATTTCATCCTCACTTATCATACATGGAGAATAGGATCAATAGACTTCATTATCGGTGGAGAATAGCCTCGGCCTGATTCAGTGATTTATAGCCTCCAAAATCGAAAGAAAATGACATTTCGGAAAAATCGCCCGAAATCTATGATGGTACGTACCCCTTTGGAATCTGCCCAAAATTGACGTGGAATAAATTCACCCAAATCGGTGCTTAATGGACTAAATCATCTTTGAAGAATAGCCTTATGCCGAATTCGTGACCTGTAGCCTTCAAAATCCAAAGAAAATGGCATTCCGTCGCCCAAAATATTGCTAAAATGTCATACTAAAATGGCATTTTCTTTGGATATTGAAGGCTACAGATCACGGATTCGGCCTGAGGCTATTCTCCAACGATGATTGAGTCCATTAAGCACCGATTTGGGCGGATTTATTCCGGGTCAATTTTTGGCAGATTCCAAAGGGGTACCATCACAGATTTCGGGCGATTTATCCAAAATGCCATTTTCTTTCGATTATGGAGGCTACAGATCACGGAATCAGGCCGAGGCTATTCTCCACCGATAATGAAGTCTATTGATTCTATTCTCCACGGATGATAAGTCCGTTAAACATCGATTTGGTCCAATTTATTTTCGGATGGCGTTTTCGTAATTTCTTGGGCGACGAAATGCCATTTTCTTTGGATATTGAAGGCTACAGATCACGGATTCGGCCTGAGGCTATTCTCCAACGATGATTGAGTGCATTAAGCACTGATTTGGGCGGATTTATTCTGGGTCAAATTTTGGCAGATTCCAAGGGGGCACCATCACAGATTTCGGAGGATTTCTCCGAAATGCCATTTTCTTTCGTCTGGAGGCTACAGATCACGGAATCAGGCCGAGGCTATTCTCCACCGATAATGAAGTATATTAATCCAATTCTCCATGGATGATAAGTCCTTTAAGCATCGATTTGGGCCAACTTATTTACGAATGGCATTTTCGTAATTTCTTGGGCGATGAAAGACCATTTTCTTTGGATATTGAAGGCTACAGATCACGGATTTGGCCTGAGGCTATTCTCCAATGATGATTGAGTCCATTAAGCACCGATTTGGGCGGATTTATTCCGGGTCAATTTTTGGCAGATTCCAAAGGGGTACCATCACAGATTTCTGGCGATTTATCCGAAATGCCATTTTCTTTCGATTCTGGCTGCTACAGATCACGGAATCAGGCCGAGGCTATTCTCCACCAATAATGAAGTCTATTGATCCTATTCTCCACGGATGATAAGTCCGTACAGCATCAATTTAGGCCAATTTATTTTCGGATGGCATTTTCGTAATTTCTTGGGCGACGAAAGGCCATTTTCTTTGGATATTGAAGGTTACTGATCACGGATTCGGCCTGAGGCTATTCTCCAATGATGATTGAGTCCATTAAGCACCGATTTGGGCAGATTTATTCCGGGTCAACCTTTGGCAGATTCCAAAGGGGTACCATCACATATTTCGGGCGATTTATCCGAAATGCCATTTTCTTTCGATTCAAGAGGCTACAGATCACGGAATTAGGCCGAGGCTATTCTCCACCAATAATGAAGTCTATTGATCCTATTCTCCACGGATGATAAGTCCGTTAAGCATCAATTTAGGCCAATTTATTTTCAGATGGCATTTTCGTAATTTCTTGGGCGACGAAAGGCCATTTTCTTTGGATATTGAAGGCTACATATCACGGATTCGGCCTGAGGCTATTCTCCAACGATGATTGAGTCCATTAAGCACCGATTTGGGCGGATATATTCCGGGTCAACCTTTGGCAGATTCCAAAGGGGTACCATCACAGATTTCGGGCGATTTATCCGAAATGCCATTTTCTTTTGATTCAAGAGGCTACAGATCACGGAATCAGGCCGAGGCTATTGTCCACCAATAATGAAGTCTATTGATCCTATTCTCCACGGATGATAAGTCCGTTAAGCATCGATTTGGGCTAATTTATTTTCGGATGGCATTTTCGTAATTTCTTGGGCGACGAAAGGCCATTTTCTTTGGATATTGAAGGCTACAGATCACGGATTCGGCTTGAGGCTATTCTCCAACGATGATTGAGTCCATTAAGCACCGATTTGGGCGGATTTATTTCGGGTAAATTTTTGGCAGATTCCAAAGGGGTACTATCAAAGATTTCGGGCGATTTATCCGAAATGCCATTTTCTTTCGATTCTGAAGGCTACAGATCACGGAATCAGGCCGAGGCTATTCTCCACCTATAATGAAGTCTATTGATCATATTCTCCACGGATGATAAATCCATTAAGTATCGATTTGGGCCAATTTATTTTCGGATGGCATTTTCGTAATTTCTTGGGCGACAAAAGGCCATTTTCATTGGATATTGAAGGCTACAGATCACGGATTCGGCCCGAGGCTGTTCTCCAACGATGATTGAGTCCATTAAGCACCGATTTGGACGGATTTATTCCGGGTCAATTTTTGGCAGATTCCAAAGGGGTACCATCATAGATTTCGGGCGATCTATCCGAAATGCCAGTTTTTTTCTATTCGGGCGCCTACAGATCACGAAATCAGGCTGAGGCTATTCTCCACCGATAATGAAGTCTATTGATCCTATTCTCCACGGATGATAAGTCCGTTAAGCATCGATTTGGGCCAATTTATTTTCGGATGGCATTTTTGTAATTTCTTGGGCGATGAAAGACCATTTTCTTTGGATATTGAAGTCTACAGATCACGGATTCGACCTGAGGCTATTCAACAACGATGATGGATTCCATTAAGCACCGATTTGGGCGGATTTATTCCGGGTCAATTTTTGGCAGATTCCAAAGGGGTACCATCACAGATTTCTGGCGATTTATCCGAAATGCCATTTTCTTTCGATTCTGGCTGCTACAGATCACAGAATCAGGCCGAGGCTATTCTCCACCAATAATGAAGTCTATTGATCCTATTCTCCACGGATGATAAGTCCGTAAAGCATCAATTTAGGCCAATTTATTTTCGGATGGCATTTTCGTAATTTCTTGGGCGACGAAAGGCCATTTTCTTTGGATATTGAAGGTTACAGATCACAGATTCGGCCTGAGGCTATTCTCCAACGATGATTGAGTCCATTAAGCACCGATTTGGGCAGATTTATTCCGGGTCAACCTTTGGCAGATTCCAAAGGGGTACCATCACAGATTTCGGGCGATTTATCCGAAATGCCATTTTCTTTCGATTCAAGAGGCTACAGATCACGGAATCAGGCCGAGGCTATTATCCACCAATAATGAAGTCTATTGATCCTATTCTCCACGGATGATAAGTCCGTTAAGCATCAATTTAGGCCAATTTGTTTTCGGATGGCATTTTCGTAATTTCTTGGGCGACGAAAGGCCATTTTCTTTGGATATTGAAGGCTACAGAACGGATTCGGCCTGAGGCTATTCTCCAACGATGATCGAGTCCATTAAGCACCGATTTGGGCGGATTTATTCCGTGTCAATTTTTGGCAGATTCCAAAAGGGTACCATCACAGATTTCGGCCGATTTATCGGAAATGCCATTTTCTTTCGATTCCAGAGGCTACAGATCACGGAATCAGGCCGAGGCTGTTCTCCACCGATAATGAAGTCTATTGATCCTATTCTCCACGGATGATAAGTCCGTTAAGCATAGATTTGGGCCTTTTATTTTTGGATGGCATTTTCGTAATTTCTTGGACAACGAAAGGCCATTTTCTTTGGATATTGAAGGCTACGTATCACGGATTCGGCCTGAGGCTATTCTCCAACGATGATTGAATCCATTAATCACAGATTTGGGCGGATTTATTCCGGTTCAATTTTTGGCAGATTCCAAAGGGGTACCATCACAGATTTCAGGCGATTTATCCGAAATGCCATTTTCTCTCGATTCTGGAGGCTACAGATCACGGAATCAGGCCGAGGCTATTCTCCACCGATAATGAAGTCTATTGATCCTATTCTCCACAGATGATAAGTCCGTTAAGCATCGATTTGGGGCTATTTATTTTCGGATGGCATTTTCGTAATTTCTTGGGCGACGAAAGGCCATTTTCTTTGGATATTGAAGGCTACAGATCACGGATTCGGCCTGAGGCTATTATCCAACGATGATTGAGTCCATTAAGCATCGATTTGGGCGAATTTATTCCGGGTCAATTTTTGGCAGATTCCAAAGGGGTACCATCACAGATTTCGGCCGATTTATCCGAAATGCAATTTCCTTTTGATTCTGGAGGCTACAGATCACGGAATCAGGCCGAGGTTATTCTCCACTGTTAATGAAGTCTATTGATCCTATTCTCCACAGATGATAAGTCCGTTAAGCATCAATTTGGGCCAATATATTTTTCGGATGGTATTTTCGTAATTTCTTGGGCGACGAAAGGCCATTTTCTTTGGATATTGAAGGCTACAGATCACGGATTCGGCCTGAGGCTATTCTCCAACGATGATTGAGTCCATTAAGCACCTATTTGGGCGGATTTATTGTAACATCCCGTTACGCAAAACCCATATTTCGATCGTTAGAAAGTTCGCGATTTAAAATCGAGCGTTTTAGTAGTATTTCGACGAAAATCGGATTATCGATCGATCGGATAAGTATACGTATTAATTTTATATATATATATAATTACACTAAGCGGCCGAATATATAAACATTCCTGTGCATTTTAATCCTCATCATCGTTGCATTCTTCTTTTCTGGACCGAGAGAAACTGAGAAGCGGGGCGCGCAGGGGAGTAACAGAAAATTTCTCCAAGCTCAATTCTTGAGCTACAGTGATCCAAAAATCCCGTAAGTAATGCCTAATTCATCCATTCATCGTGATTTATCGATTTAGAGCTTTAAAACGAGTTTTTGGTTCAGAAATTTCTTGAATTCCCGATAAGCTAAATTAGGGTTTCGGAGTATCCGGAAGCCGGATTGAGCCCAAATTTCATATACGAGCTTCCTACAGCGAGGTAATCAATCCTCTAGTTCTAATCCCTGAATTTTGGCTATTATTTAGGCCGGGGTCCAAACCGCTGAATTTAGCTCCGGCCAGGGTTTGATGTGTTTTTATCGAGAATTTTACCCGGAGCCCAGAACTAATATTGACGGGGATACTGCAGGGGATATTAGGACGGTCTCGGATTTTAATTCGGGGTTCGTTCGTGAAATTGACGTTTTAGTACGAGAAGCTTAAACCGGTGTTTGAACGACCAGAACTGGTGAGGGATTAGCACGGCATACCGGGTTTGTCGTATCACGATAATTATATTGATGCTTAGAATTGACCTAGGTGAACTAGAATGGCATGATCAGGGGTGTATGGAATTTTGTGCTATATGATGAACCCTGGACTGCTGTATGATATTATTGACTTGCCCTGATCGATATGAACCTTGTTTATGTGGATGATTGCCTACATGTTTCCATTTGTGGCTTAACTGTTGATATGACTTTATGGCTGTTCGATAAGGGTTTTTGACATGGTGTGATATTATGGTTGTATTTGGATCCATAAGTGGGGGAATAAACTTCCCAAGGTGATATTATGATGTTTAAGGAGGATGACTTGCACGAGGGTTTATCCCGAGGAAGTGCAATTATACGACTCCTAATTTACCTATGTCGAGCCAATTATGGTCAGATCAAGTACATGTGCAAGTAATGAATTATGATTAAGCAAGATGAGATATGAATCATGTATAAGGATACCAAATATAAGTGTTGTGGTCTCACGGTCAACTACATAGTAATTAGGGCTCCCTATGCTATTACTCTATTATGATATGTATGATAGTCACACCTCTCATGTGGTGGTGACTGAAGAATTCTTACGAGATATGACCACACCCAGAGTGGTGTCGGGGTATGACTACACCCATAGTGGTGTGGGGTATGTGTGACCACATCCGACGGGATGTTGGGGTATGTATGACTACATCCGACGGGATGTGGGGTATGTTTCCCGGGAGAGTTATTAGCATGGGAGTAGCCAGGCGCCTATAAGTAAAACATGATAAGATGCATATGCATAAGTCAAGGTGGTTGAGTCTTTTGCCTATTGGGATGTCAGAGAGCTGAGATATGATCCCAGTGCTTTGGCTTGTTTGCTAGATGTATGGTAGGGGTATGCTCTGTTATGAACTCACGATGCTATGGTTATCTCACTCAGCTATGAGCCGACCCTCTTTTATTCTTCTTCTCTGCTTATGCTATGTGTAAGCAGATCATCAGCAGCAGTAGATAGGTG